GCAATAGGAAGTTTAAACAGCTATGTTCCTTAAATAACGCGCTTAAATAGCCTTCTCAATTACTTCAATTTGTTTGATTTTTTAAACACTGCTCAAGATTGATAATCTTATGGATTTAAAAGGTGATAATCCTGTCATATGACCGTGTTTATTAGTTTTGCTAGTAAATCATGTCACGAGTTGAAACATGCAGTAACGCAGCACGTAATGCATGTAACCATGTTGATATTTGAAAGTTTCAATCAATGTAGATTATGAAATCAAAAGGAAAAGCTTATAATTTGAAGGAAACTGTATATTTCAGTGTGTATTTGTTGTGTACACTGTCCTCAGTTCACGACTGACAATGAAGATATCGAATGTCTATGTGGTCCTCGGGTTTGACGTTAAAGGATTGCTATGTGACATTGTACTATGTTGGCGAACTCGGTAGATGTACTGACGTTTATATATCATTATAAGCCGGCTTATGTTCCTCTACATCAGGAGATAAATCGTACAATGTATAGAAACAACATTTAATTCCACAACAGCAGTATACTTTCAACTAGTATGAACGTTAGACGTTTCGTTCAATTTCTAAAACCATGCGAGCTAAGTATGACATTTGGTCAATTAAGAACGTGATTGTACTAAATAAGGCAACGATTGCTGAACAAACAGACAATGCGCAGTTTCCAAATGCTGAACAAATAGATAACGCGCAGTTTCCAAAAAAAGGAATAGAACTTGTGAAAATATATAGATGTTTCAAACATAGTAGACCGATCGAGGACCTAAAACGCTACGCCGGTTATGTTATAGAAACGAAAATGGTGAACAAGATGGATGAATTTCTAAATGAGTTTCGCCAGCTCGAACGTCATGATTCATCATAGACACGCCATGACTACATCAGACTAGATGTGCGTTTGACATTTCGGACTAATAAACTTCTAGAATAATTTCCGACAGTCATAAACTAGCAATTCTATCAAAACAGGCAAACCTTCACACGAATATAAAATAGGAAAACGATAGTTTCATATGGACAACAACAGACGGCATATACAGCAAGGTGAGAAGCAATCGTGCAGAACTAAACGTCCAGACCGTACCCAGGGATATGGACACAGTGTATTTCAGAACTAAACGTCAAGACCGTACCCAGGGACATGGACACACTAAACGTCCAGACCGTACCCAGGGACATGGACACATTGTATGTCAGCACTAAACGTCCATACCGTACCCAGGGACATGGGCACAGTGTATGTCAGAGCTACACGTTCATACCGTACCCAGGGACATGGACACAGTGTATGTCAGAACTAAACGTCCATACCGTACCCAGGGACATGGACACAGCGTATGTCAGAAATAAACATCCAGACCGTACCCAGGGACGTGGACACAGTGTATGGCAGAACTAAACGTCCAGACCATACCCAGGGACATGGACACAGTGTATGTCAGAAATAAACATCCAGACCGTACCCAGGGACATTGACACAGTGTATGGCAAAACTAAACGTCCAGACCATACCCAGGGACATGGACACAGTGTATGGCAGAACTAAACGTCCAGACCATACCCAGGGACATGGCCACAGTGTATGTCAGAACTAAACGTCCATACCGTACCCAGGGACATGGACACAGTGTATGGCAGAACTAAACGTCAGGACCGTACCCAGGGACATGGACACAGTGTATGGCAGAACCAAACGTCCAGATCGTACCCAGGGACATAGACACAGTGTATGTCGGCCATATTTATGCCATAGACCTTGAACTTTGTCACTGGCCTAGGGCGTGACCGCTCCCTTCCTGTCTTTGTTTCAATATATATTACCATAAACATTTTTTCAAGAACGCTTCATATCAAAATAGGAACTCATATTATATATTCTCTACACGTAATGATTGGTGCATGCTGTCTCGAGAAGAAAACAACAACAAAATATTATCCTTCTTACTTCCTACTTTAGAACATGACATATAACCGATATGATATATTGCCCGTGTCAAAATAGCTAATCGACATGATATCGTTTGCGCGATAGCAGTGTATAAACAATTATCACTGAAACAGAAAATGAAGTTTTACATGCGATGTAGCCATTGCTTACGAATTTTTAATAAACGCACTGTTGTAGTTTGAAATATTCGATTAAATACAGTATTTCAGACACCACCGACAACCGGTATCCGAAACTTTAAAGTGTATCGTATATCTGAGAAATCCTTTTCGTTTCCCATTTATTGTATATCTGAGAAATCCTGTCCGTTTCCCATTTATTGTAGATATGAGAAATCCTGTCCGTTTCCCATTCATTGTAGATATGAGAAATCCTGTCCGTTTCCCATTTATTGTAGCTATGAGAAATCCTGTCCGTTTCCCATTTATTGTAGATATGAGAAATCCTGTCCGTTTCCCATTTATTGTAGCTATGAGAAATCCTGTACTTTTTACATGTATTATCTCTTCATTTTACACGTATTATATATTTAAGAAATGCTATTTATTTTACAATGACCTTTGCGTCTAGATTTAAAGCACATATGTCATCGATAGTCTATACGTTTGTCAATGTTTAAATACTTGAAAACGTGCGACGTCGTCTTCAAGTAAATGGGTCCGCTCCTAGTTTAAATACCTGTATAAACATGACAGTGCTTTTAAACTTGAATAATAAAACTCCGTTATTAAATGTATGTATCAAAGGCAATAATTTGTTGGGGTTTCTCTTGTTATCACAGAAATGATTTACTTAATGCTTCCCTTGGCCCCAAAATGGCATTAATGATAAGTTTTGTGTATGATACTACCAGGATTGAAACCCCACTAAGTTACAGTGTACAAACACCACTCTGTCATATTGTTTTGATATCGCAGTAGATTTCAACACTTTAAAGACACAAAGTCGACCAAGATACACACATGACATTCCAATAATACTACATTGATAGCTCTTGCATTTAAAACTTGATGAGTGAATCCTGAGTATGAAAATAAATTATGGTATGTTTACAACAAGGTGGCCCAGTTTTTATATTATATTAAAGTCGCAAATACTGGAAACGAGAATTCAATTAAATTCTATTCAAAGTTATGATTACGCGAACGTTTAAGATAAGCCTTTAGCTAGAACTACAATGTTTTTTTTGTACATTTGCCCTCATTTACTTCCACCATAACATGAGACTCGTGTAAACTCTCTCCCAGCTAATATTTTCCACCATCACAGACACTGTCGGATTTAACAGTAGGCTTTCGTATCGATTATATTTTCTCTTAATCCGAGTCCGTTCCTCAAAGCCGACTGATGATAATTCTAAAGCATATCCAGACAGTATCGGGCGGTATACCCTTCTGCAGAGAATACACACACTAGCTACAGAACTGCATTATTGGTGTGTGTGCTCACACGTGTCTATATTGATCTTAAGCACATTGGCCTGATTACGTGCAAAATTCTACACAATATGCTCTACTGTGTGGCTTAAAGATTCACTTATTGGCCTTTGTAAGTGCTTACGTACAAATCAGAAAAGAATTCGTCAGAAATGTGTTGGAACGGTTGGTCGTATAGGGTTTGTTTTTCAAGTACCACTTGGAACTACTCGTGATCGGGTAGGTCATAGCGATACTGTGTTACATAATTGGAAACCAGAATACATTTAGCGAGGGTATTGTGAAAGTTATGAAATTGCTAATAATAATAGATATGTACATACTTAAATTTACAAAATCCAATAACATCATGATTTTCCTCTAGAACTGACGAACTGTCGCTCTAATTCCTAACACGCCACCCGTAGATATCACAAACTGGACAAATTATCATTTGGAACGTCATGCTGTCTGATGTATCAGTAGAAGCAATGCAATGATTTATGTTTCTGGGATCTTTATTAGCATTTCAAAAACACATGCTAAATTGTAGTGTTTTTTTTTTATTATATAAACGTTCATAAACGATCGTATTTAACTTAGAGTAAGCTTTGCAAATGTTTCGGTTCGATCTGCGGCCATCCATTTGTACAACTTTGAGTGTTAAGGGTAGAACACGGTTGTTACTAACAAACAAGGCAAGGAGTAGGATTTACGTACATTTGTCAATGGGGTGAGATAGACGACAAAACATATATGTAATGCATGATCATTGTACGTGAGAAGCTCTCTCGAAGTTAGCCGAACTTCAACATGTCAGCATTTCTTAGTGACAGTGGATGTCGCCGGCGTGTGAAACAATGCAAGTGGTTGTCATACCGACCTCATCTACATCCCGCAAGGACACGTGTACAGGGATGTGTTTATAAGCATGTCATCGCCAGCAAATATACTGTACAGTTATAAGTGGTACGCGTCGTATACATTTTAGAACACTGTACACACTTGTAGTAGTCACCCTATGTATCAACTAGTAGTGGGTAAACAGGCAGGCCATTTTAACATTTTAACATCTAATAATATTTTCCCATTTGAATAGAGACGCATATATATCATTAAATTCAAAACATATTTTATCAAAATATCAATACAGTTTATATCGAAGTGAAATTTATCAGATACATTATTTATTTGTAATAAATTCAAACATGTACTACAGTAGTCCGAATTATCGACGACAGACCGATATAAAAAAGTCGATAAAACGTCAGAATAATTCGGACTAATACTACAGGTATAAAGTATCAACTTTATAATGTATCTCCCAAGCTTTGTATGTCATGAACCATAGAAACAATAATGTGATTTTTTAAATATCTTATAATAACTTATAGTAAAAAAAACATCTTGTAGAGTCATTAACTTTACAAGCTATCTTACGAATGATTTCATTCTAGAAATAATACATACATTCATCGCTGATAACCCGGTATATCTCCTAGCAAGAGGCTGTTTCGTTAATGTTAAACATGTTAACGTTGTGTTTATGACGAAATTTACCTATGAACTAAAAGTTCGTTGTATAAACCTATTATTTATTGTTAACACTATACAATGTGGTTACCTTTTCTCTCCTTCCATACGGAATGTCTAGCGGTTTCTCATCGTCCGGGTCGAGTGTCTTCTGTCTGACAACTTTGTTGAAGTCGCTGAGTCTGAGTGTAGTCTTCGGCTGTAGTTCAATACTCGGCAAACTCCTCTCCCGGAGACGTACCCAGTTAGAGGAGACAGAGGACGTTCTCTCCATAGAAGGCTCGTCCTCTGTTACCTCGTCCACCCGTGATAAACGTTTCCTTAAACCCTTCTTTGAACCCCCGTGTCCTTTTTTCTCTCGGTGCCTTCTCCCTGCCTCGTCGAAAGCGGCCAGAGCCTGAACCTTACGCCGAGCGGCGCTCTGTTTTGATGCGCCAGCACCCATGATACACCGATTTTATTTAGTCTTTTTCCGAATTTGAAATACAATCCACAACGAACATTCACGAGAAAATCACTAAACTTTGATCACAGGTCACCATACTAAGTAAATGTAAAGCATTAGTGTTTATAAACGGCAGGTATAAAGATTGCTTCCTCTTACATAAGTAACCACTTGAACATGCTCCATCGACTTTACAGAAAATCCGATATCCTTATATTTTTGTCAAGGTCTACAAATCTTCCGGCTTGTCTAGATGAACATTGAAAGTAACATACGTACCGGCAAAATGTATACATACGTACCAAGACATGTCAAGTTGACTTTTCCGTTTCACTAAAGAGGAAGAAAAAGACGCCGGTATCCGTGGACCTATGGGGGGAACCTCGACAGCTGCAGGACCCGATTCGTGATTCGGGGAGCGAGGCTAAGTGCTGAGTGCTGGGTCCTCTTCCGCCTATTTCTTGGAACGAGTGCGGCTGTCTCCCTGCATCAAAGATATAAACACTCGAGATGTGGATTACAGTTTGTAAATGTCATCTCCAGTATAAATCATATCACTGACGCGATATACAATGTCCACGCTAGTATGTCGAGCTCGCTTCGCCGACTCTGTGTGTGTGTCTGACTATATATAAACACACGTGCTCGTTTCATACGATCCTATAATGACAATTCTTCCGCCGTGCTTCCTCTAGCAGAACAAATACACACACGTAGCTGATTTTGATTTAAATATCCCTCGGCTGGTAAATCCGCGTTACAACATTTTGAGGTGTCGCCCTCACACATGCTGTCCACACTGGTATCACGATCGCTGTCCTAGATATCTCCTAACTATCGATGGATTTCCCCTGTTACTCTGTTCTTCTTCAGATTTAATCCCTATGGTACCGATATGTTGGAGCATCCCTAGTCTGGGCTGTGAACATTTGGTGGTAGTGTTGAGATACGTGTGCAATGTATCGCAGTAATGTTCAGACAAGTCAATAACATACGCCCTTCTATCAGTGGAGATCGATCGGTGTCACTCTTCACCAATACACCCCAGTGAGGGATTCTAAAGAAAAAAATGTCACTAATACTACAACAAAGAACGGTATCACAAATGCTTCCGTTTTAAAGGCGCACGACTTCTGTTAGGTACTCGTGTCAGTAGTATCAAATACATAGAAAATAGATAAAGTATAGCACGGCAAGTGTTAACAACAGTTGAAAAGTCTGCGTTGGATACAGTACCACAATAAGACTGGCACACAAAGATTTATCAAAACTTGAAATACTAAAAAGGTTGAACAGTGTATAGATTAAATCATTTTCATGTTCATGTAGGACAATATCACTTTAAAAATCTAAAGTTTTATGATGAAAATTTACAATTTTGTAACAAGCCGTGTCTTCATTTTACCTTGTGTGCGCTAAGGATATCTTTATAGCACTAAACTGATAACGCCGAAAATATCTATATAAAACACATATGTAAGCGCCACAAATATCTGAATAACATCCAAATCTTAGCATCAAATATATCTGAGAAGCATCCAATTGTTAGCCTCAAAAATATCAGAATAACATCCTAATGTTAGAGTCAAAAGTATCTGAATAGCATCCATCTGTTAGCGTCAAAGGTATCTGAATAGCAATCAAATGTTAGTGTCAACAGTATCTATATAAAACTTAAATGTGAGCGCCACAAATATCTTAATAGCATCTGAATAGCATCAAACTGTTAGCGTCAAAGGTATTTGAATAGCACCCATCTATTAGCGTCAAAGGTATCTGAATAGCATCAAACTGTTAACGCCAACTATATCTGAATAGCATCCATCTGTTAGCGTCAAAAGTATCTGAATAACATTCAACTGTTCACGCCAAATATATCTGAATAGCAACCATCGGTTAGCGTCAAAGATATCTGAGAAGCATCCAACTGTTAGCGTCAACAGTATCTGAATAGCATCCATCTGTTACCGTCAAAATACTCTGAGTAGCATCCATCTGTTATCGTCAAAGATATCAGAGTAGCACCCAACTGTTAGCGTCAAAGATATTTGAATAATATCAAATTGTTAGCGTCAGACATCTGAGTAGCACCCAACTGTTAGTGAAAAAGACATCTGAATAACCGTGACCATCTCAGTAGTTTAAGAAATAGAGGGTTTAATATCCCTCCCGGCATTCTTTAATATTCCCCAAAGATGTGAATAAAGCTGACCAATACTGTTGATGGACTATAGGTCACTAGTAGAACTATTTTCTTTCAATGGCAGGGAGACCTCCGAGGGATTCAATCTCTCTATCATAAACCCAAACATTCTATATCGGTGAAAGTATTATTGGGTACATTTGATCATAGTTTTGTCACACATGAAATGAATACATTTCGGAAAGATAAGTCGGCGTTGAACTTTCTATAATCGGCTTTGAATCACGCGGGTATTTGATAGGGTTGGCCTGGTACCAAGAAAAGTACCAAGGGAGGACGGGATAGAGTGACATGTCTCCTGGTTTCAAACACGGTGTTAGGAGATAACAGACACAGTTGGTCTAGTACCAAAGTTATTATCATGTTATGACAGATAAGATTTGGTTTAGACCCGAAGGTTATACCGAGTGGTATGGGGGTAGGGCTGGTCTTGTACCGATTGTAGACGGGATACGGTTGGTCTCGTGATGACGGGACAGGGTTGATCTAGTGATGGCGTGATAGGGTTGGTCTAGTGATGACGGGACAGGGTTAGTCTAGTGATGACGGGACAGAGTTGGTCTAGTGATGACGGTACAGGGCTGGTCTAGTGATAACGGGATAGGGGTTAGTCTAGTGATGACCGGATAGAGTTGGTCTAGTATTGACGGGACAGGGTTGGTCTAGTGATGGGATACGGTTGGTCCAGTGATGACGGGATATGGTCGGTCTAGTGAAGGGATACGTAGTGATGACGGGATACGGTTTGTCTAGTGATGACGGGTAGGGGTGGTCTAGTACCAATGGTAGTAGCAAGTGATAACGAGAGACGGTTGGTCTAGAGATTACGGGACAAGATTTTCCGATGATGTCGGAATGGAGTTGTCTAGTACAAAAAGTAGTACCAAATGACGGCGGGATACGGTTGGTCTGATGATGTCGGGACGGGATGGTCTATTATCAATACCAAGTGATGACGGGACGGGATGGTCTGTTATCAATACCATAGTCACGCTTCTCACACTGGAGAGGGAAAATGCCATAAACCCATTTTCTCTCCATCCCCCACGTTGTGAGTTGCAGCAGAGAATGTCCAGGGGACCTGGGAAAGGACGAGGAGGCGCAAAAAGCACTAGAGAGGCGTCGAAACAGCCCATACACCCGTATTTCACTAGAAAAAACTCGGCCACGTGCACTGTAGAACAGACAGAAACCAAGATGGCGGACGAGCAGCTCAAATAGTTCAAAGATTTGAAGGAACTTATCACAGCTCTTGATAGCAAATTATGTAACAAAATAGGGGAAGTAAACGCAAAAATTGACACTTCCAATGCTACTGTAGAACAATGTGAGCGCAGAATAAACAAACTCGAACAGAAACTTGACGACGAAGTTGACACGATAAAAAAATGCGGTTTACGAGATGAAGCAGTCGGCGGATTTTTGCTCAGACAAATTCGACGAAATGCAGAGTAATGTGGTCGAACTACTGAAAGTAAAGCAAGAACTAATGGAAAAGATTGAATATCTCGAGAACCAACAGAAATACCAGGATGGTAGAAGTAGGAAATATAATGTTTTGATATTTGGTCTCCCAGATGATGGCAAAGCGACGGAACTATAAATTCGGGAACTTATGTGTACCGGTATGAAAATTGACGGGAAGATCGTTGAAAAGATCATAATACATAACACCCATAGGGTAGGTACCTAGACGCAAAACATCAGAAAACACTCGAAGCGATCGCGAGGAGAGAGACACTAGACCCGAGACAGTCATAGTGAGGTTTGTGTGCATGAGAGACAGAGATCTAGTCCTAAAAAACGCGAGAAATATTGACAGAGCCTCAAAGATCACCATTCGTACTGACTTTCCCGACCACCTCAAGACCAAAAGAACCAAGGAAATGCAAACAGTGGTTAGGGAAAGTAAGATCGATGTTTGGCTAATGACCAGGAAATCGACCCAGGACAAATGGAAGAAATATTCAATTGAGTAATGAACTTGAACTGTTAATTTGAAACACTGACTTACTATTAAATTAATTATGTCTTATACCAAATGCTCTGCATTCCAAAAAATATTAAGCTTACTGTATCCCTCGTCCCATGGACATTCCCAGACGAAACGTGAAATAGGCTTAAAGTGTAGTTTGTTCGCCCAAACCCGACGAACCCAATACCCACTATTTCTCTTCTTAAAAAAACCCACCTATTAGTATACAATACCCTACCTTGTGATCATGACCCTTACCCAAGTAAAAGATGTTTGGTCGGGATTGGATAGGCAGACTGATGACAATTTAACATTGACCCTAAAAAACTTAAGTAGTAATAGTCTACTTGTTAACTATGAAACTGTAGAGATGAAATACTAGTCAAAGTTATCTCAAGTTTTCACATTTTTTATCCAATACTCGTATGGTTAATAAAATCTCAGGATTTTTCAACATGTACTATTTGGGCTTACCTTACCGCATTGGTTTTGCAATGGGCGAGTACCTAATATACAATTAATATACACATGTGGGTAATACACATGCTTCCTGCGTACTGTTTTGGAATTGTTAAAAAATAAGATGTATCATATATATATAATAACTATGTCATGTCCAAGACTCATGCAGGACATATGCGGTGGGTACCTATTAGTTAAATAGCCAGATAGGCCTTATTTACATATATATATACAGTGTATTAGGAATAATCTCCATGTTGCCAAAAGGGGATAAGCCCAGAGAGCTCATAAAAAAATTGGAGACCCATATCACTCCTTAATATCTCTTACAAACCCTATCGACGTGCTCGGCAAATAGAATGAAAAAATATATGGATAAGCTGATTCATGAAAATCAGAAGGGGGATATATGACATCTTGTACTATACTGAAAAAATCACACACCAGGAATTTTATCATTGATCGATTTCGAGAAGGCATTCGATTCGGTTTCCTGGCAATTTATGTATAATGTGCTAGAGTTTTTTAAGTTTGGTCCTGAATTTGCTAAATGGATAAGCATTTTGTATAACGACGCTAAATTATGTGTACTTCAAATTGTTTTTATTTCAACATTTTTTAATATAGGACGGGGCTGCCGTCAAGGCGATCCGATCTCGCCATATATATGTCTACTGTGTGTAGAATTAATGGGTATCCTAATAAGGTCTAATCAAGAAATTAAAGGTGTTACAATTGTTAACAAAGAGTATAAACTATTTCAGTATGCTGATGATACTGGTATATTTTTGAATGGTATGGAAAAATCTTTTAAGAATACTCTTGAACTTCTTGACCAGTTTTCTAAGTATTCCGGCTTGACACCAAATTTTGAAAAAACTAAGGCACTCTGGATAGGTTCAAGAAAAAATGCCGTAAATAGACTATGTAATGAGTGAAACCTTGAGTGGACCAATGAATCGTTCACGGTACTGGGCATCCTATTTAGCTTAAAACTTGAAGATATACCAAAATTAAATTTTAAAGCCAAACTTAATGATATCAGTAATACACTAAAACATTGGTATAAAAGAAGACTGACTATCCTTGGTAAGATTATAATAGTCAAATCTCTATTAATTCCAAAATTGACTCATTTATTTATGAGCTTACCTAAACCAGAAGACAGAGACTTACTGAAGAATTAGAAAATATATTTTTCAATTCTATCTGGAATACGAGAGATAGAATAGCTAGAAATCAGATTATAAAAGAGTATAAGGATGGTGGATGTAGGATGACACACATTGTATCCTTTAATAAAGCATTGAAATTAACCTGGATACGGAGAATTCTCAATTCTGACGCTACCTGGAAAATATACTGTTAGA